TCCAGAGACCTGGGAACAAGACCAAGGGGGAACAAAGGGTACAGTTGAGCGCAATTGTGGGATAGTTTGAGTATTCTTTGGCATTTTCTTCTTTGGGACTGGAATGAAAACTGAACCTTTCCAATATTGTGGCCACTGCTGAGTTTTCCAAATTTGCTGGCATATTGAGTGCAGCACTTTCACAGCATCATCTTTTAGGATTTGAAATAGCTCGGCTGAAATTCCATCACCTCTACTAGCTTTGTTCATAGTGATGCTTCCTAAGGCCCACTTGACTTCACACTCCAGGATGTCTGGCTCTAGATGAGTGATCACACCACTGTGGTTTCCAAGTCATTAAGACCTTTTCTGTACAGTTCCTCTGTGTATTCTTGCCACCTATTCTTAGTATCTTCTGCTTCTGTTAGGTCCATATCATTTCTGTCCTTTATCGCGCCCATTTTTGCAAGAAATATTCCCTTGGTAGCTCCAATTTACCTGAAGAGATCGTTAGTCTTATCCATTCTATTGTTTTCCTCTATTTCTTTGCATTGCTCACTTAAGACGGCTTTCTTGTATCTCCCTGCTGTTCTTTGGAACTCTGCATTCAGATGGGTATATCTTTCCTTTTATCCTTTGCCTTTTGCTTCTCTTTTCTCAGCTATTTGTAAAGACTTCTCAGACAACAATTTTGCCTTTCTGTGTTTCTTTTTCTTGGGGACGGTTTTGGTCACTGCCTCCTGTACACTGTTATGAACCTTTGTCCATAGTTGTTCAGGCACTCTATCAGATCTAATCCCTTGACTCTATTTGCCACTTCCACTGTATAATCATAAGGGTTTGATTTAGGTCATACCTGAATGGCCTAGTGGTTTTTCTTACTTTCTTTAAGTTTGAATTTGGCAATAAGGAGTTCATAATCTGAGCCCAAAGAAGGGCAATGCCAAAAAAATGTTCAAACTGCAGCACGACTGCACTCATTTCACACACTAGCAAGGTAATGCTCAAAATCCTTCAAAGCTAGGCTTCAACAATACATGAACAGAGAACTTCCATATATACAGGCTGGATTTAGAAAAGGCAGAAGAACCAGAGACCAAATTGCCAATATTCGTTGGATCACATAAAAAGCAAGGGAATTTCAGAAAAACATCTACTTCTGTTTCATAGACTATGTTAATGCTTTTGAATGTGTGGATCACAACAAACTGCGGAAAAAAAATCTTAAAGAGATGGGAATACCAGACTACCTTACCTGTTTCCTGAGAAACCTGTATACAGATCAAGAAGCAACAGTTAGAACCGGACATGGAACAATGAACTGATCCAAAACTGGGAAAGGAGTACGTCAAGGTTGTATATTATCACCCTATTTATTTAACTTATATGCAGAGTACATCATGCAAAGTGATGGGCTGGATGAAGCTCAAGCTGAAATCAAGATTGCTGGGAGAAATATCAATAACCTCAGATATGTCGATGACACCACTTATGGCAGAAAGTGAAGAGGAACTAAAGAGCCACTTGATGAAGGTGAAAGAGGAGAGTGAAAAAGCTGGTTTAAAACTCAGCATTCGAAAACTAAGATAATGGCATCTAGTCCCATCACTTCATGACAAATAGATGGAGAAACAATGAAAACAGGGACAAACTTTCTTTACTTGGGCTCCAAAATCACTGCAAATGGTGACTGCAGCCATGAAATTAAAAGATGCTGCTCCTTGGAAGAAAGGCTATGACCAACCTACAAAGTATATTAAAAAGCAGAGAAATCATTTTGCTGATAAAGGTCCACAAACTTATGGTTTTTCCAGAAATCATGTGTGGATGTGATAGTTGGACCATAAAGAAGGCTGAGCACTGAATAATTGATGCTTTTGAACTATGGTGTTGGAGAAGAGTCTTGAGAGTCCCTTGGACAGCAAGGCGATCAAGCCAGTCAATCCTAAAGGAAATCAACCCAGAATATTCATTGGAAGGAAGCTTAAGAAGCTCTAATACTTTGGCCACCTGATGCGAAGAGCTGACTCATTGGAAAAGACCCTGATGCTGGGAAAGATTGAAGGAAGGAGGAGAAGGGGACGACAGAGGATGAGATGGTGGTATGGCACCACCGACCCAATGGACATGAGTTTGAGCAAGCTCTGGGAGATGGTGAAGGACAGGGCAGCCTGGCGTGCTGCAGTCCATGGGGTCACAAAGAGTCAGACATGACTGAGTGACTGAACAACATCACTTCACGTTGGTCAGAATGGCCATCATCAAAAAATCTGCAAAGAATATATGCTGGAGAGGATGTGGAGAAAAGGATACAATCCTACACTGCTGGTGGCAATGTGAATTAATACATGCACTAAGGAGAATGGTATGGAGATTCCTTAAAGAAGTAGGAAAAAACTACCATATGACCCAGTAATCCTACTTCTGGGCATATACCCTGAGAAAACCCTAATTCAAAAGGACACATGTACACCAATGTTCACTGCAGCACTATTTACAATAGATAGGACATGAAAGAAACCTAGATATCCATCGACAGATGAGTAGATAAAGAAGGTGTAGTACATATATACAACAGAGTATTATTCAATCATCAAAAGGAACACATTTGAGTCAGTTAAAAGCGAGGAGGATGAATCTAGACCCTGTGAAGTCAGTCAGAAAAACAAACATCATATATTACAGCAGAAACTAACACAACATTGTAAAGCAATTATCCTCCAATTAAAAATAAATTAAAAAAAATAAAGAAACATACAGGAATGATCATCGCAGTAGCAGTATTGTTCCAAATAACGAAAAAAACAATTATTCTTTCAAGATTAGTTTGCATGACTAATATGTGGTATTATCATACAATGTAGCAACTCACACCAATGGAAATGAACAAACAACCACTACCTATAGCTGTTTAGGGGCTTTCCTGGTAGGTAGTTGGCAAAGAATCCGCCTGCAATGCAGGAGACCCTGGTTCGATTCCTGGGACAGGAAGATCCGCTGGAGAAGGGATAGGCTACCCACTCCAGTATTCTTGGGCTTCCCTTGTAGCTCAGCTGGTAAAGAACCTGCCTGCAATGTGGGAGACCTGGGTTTGATCCCTGGGTTGGGAAGATCCCCCGGAGAAGGGAAAGGGTACCCACTCCAGTATTCTGGCCTGGAGAATTCCATGGGCTGTATAGCCCATGGGGTTGCAAAGAGTCAGACAGAACTGAGCGACTTTCACTTTTCACTGTTTAGATGATTTCACAAAAGGAAATAAGTCAGCAAAAGAGCCAGAAAAGAACACATAACGTGTGATAAGAGAGAACACATAACGTGTGAGAGCATTTATATAAAGCTCAAAAGCAGGCAAAACTAAAACAAGATGTTAGAAAGATGACGGGATCACTTTACATCCAGAAGGAGGGAAGAGCACTGACTCCCAGGACACACAAGAGGGCTTCAATCACAGTGGCAACATTCTGCTTCTGAATCTGGGAGGTGATACCTAGGTGAGTGTTTTCTAGTAACTTCCTGGGCAATATGCTATAAGAAGTCAGTCAGACAGAGAAAGACAGATACTGTATGACATCACTTATATGCGAAACGCAAAAACACAACAAACTAGTGAATTTAACATCAAAGAAGCAGACTCCCAGATACAGAGGAAAAAACCAGTGGTTTGCCAGTGGGGAGAGAAGCGGGGCGGTACAGAGGAGGGGGATGAGAGGTGCAAATCTGGGTGTGACCAGGCTCAGGTGTGCTATACAACACCGAGAATACAGCCAAGATTTCGTAGTAACTGTAAATGGAAAGCAAGCCTTAAAATTGTGTAAGACAATTTTTAATTAAAAATAGATTTTGAAAAAAAGAAAATGAGGCCTATCCAAACAATGGACTACTGAACTATAAGAATTTTTAGGAATGAAGAACTGATACTTACTACCATGTAGATGAACCTTGAAAATACTACCCTAAATGAAAGAAGCTAGTCACAAATGACCACATACATCGTGTATGAATCTGTTTAAATATTCAGAACGGACAGACTCATGGAGACAAGAAATAGGTTCATGGTTGCCAAAGGGCTCCAGAGAAATTACTAACGGGCGTGGAGTTTCTTTCTGCGATGATTAAAACATCTTGGAATAGAAAACAGTGATGGTTGTACCATCTGTGACTACACTAAAACTGAACTGAACCGTACACTTTAAAACGGTGAATTGATTGGCATGTGAATTATATCTCAATTTTAAAATTATGATTTCTTTTAGATTCAGACCTTTTACATTTAGATTTCTTTTAGCTAAGAAATTAGAACATTTTATCAGGTCATTGTAACAGATGTTCTGATAATGATTACTTTTCATCATGCCAAAAGTACATTATTTTCTTTTATTAACAAAAATTAGACTCAAAATACTAGATACCAAATAAAAAGTACGTGAGAAGGTTTATGTTGTCAAAATTCCCTTGAAACTTAGCTCCTACAAAAAATATCTGATCACTGCTGTTCTAGATTCTGGCCTCTGGAGTGGCCAGTGACAACAGAGAGCAGGCCCACCTGGACAGGTCACACCCCCCTCCCTGGTCCGCCAGGTGGCAGCCCTGTCCCCCAAACACTCCTCGACCCACAGGAGAAGCTCTCCTGCAGCATCCTCTGGCTTCTGGTGTCTAAGAGAAGAAAAAATATCCCTCTGCTCCTCCCTAAGGTAAAGCCCCTTTCCGCGTGACTACTGGAGGTAAGAATTGAGAAATATTAGTCTACATCCCTCTTGTTACAAAGTCCTGTAACAGGAACCCTAACCTGGCCGGCAGGCTGACCAGCGTTATCAGCAGAGCCCCACTTTTTCTTAGTTTCAGGGTACCTAAAAGTGAGAAAAATTAATTCAAATTATCAAATACTCCCCAGAACACTATTCATGTGGGGACCACCTTGCTTTTGTATATAAAGGCATTTCTACATTTTTATTAGTAACTAGCCTAAATGCTGTTGCTCGAAGTACTTTAAAGTGTTCAGAATATAGATTGAAAACACTAACCAAAGGTTTCATATGAGTCTTCATCTTTCTCATTTTCGCCCAGCCCGCTGAGTCTTGAGAACCGAGAATCATCAGGAAAATCAAATACATCCAGAGGCTTGTGCATCTGCCCCGCTTTCTGAAAGTGAACAGAGTTCAAAGTCACTGAACTGGCCATACCGAACAAGAACATCAATAAGCCAACCTATGTGGCAAGGACACTGCTGCTCCCGCCGGTGCCCAAGGAGCGAGCCCTCGCACTCCCTTGGGGGCAGAGTCTCTTCTGGTGATCTAAGGCGGGGTGGCCGAACTTTTCTAGAAAGGACCAGGGGGTAAATACAGTTGGCCACTGAGCAACACGGGTTGGGGCACCCAGCCTCCGCATGGTGGAAAATCCTCATACGACCCTGGCAGCTGGCCTCGTCCGAGGTTCCATATGCGGGGGTTTCAACCAACTGTGGATAGTGTAGAACCTACTACTGAGAACAATCCGGGTAGAGTGAACCCTCCCAGCTCAAACCTGTGTTGTTCGAGGGGCCCTTGTACCCAAGACCGCGGACCGTGAGGTTCTGCGGCCGCTCAGCTCAGCCATCGCGGTGTGGAAGCAGACAGGGCGGTGCAGAAAGAGCGGCACAGTTGGGCTGCAATACAGCCTCATGGAGCCTGAAATCTGAGCTCCATGCTTTCACATGCCATGAGATAAGTCTTCTTTGATTTTACTTCAGTCATTTAAAAATATAAAAACCATCCTTAGCTCACAGGGCTACAGGTCACAGCCAGCCACTCCTGAACCACCAGGGGGTTGCTCTCCAGAAACAGCCACTTACCCCAAAGCTCCCGAAAGTTTTTAGGTCTGTGAACCAAGGTAAAGTGGAAGTGGTCAAACAGGAGATGGCAAGAGTGAACAACCACATTTTAGGAATCAGTGAACTAAAATGGACTGGAATGGGTGAATTTAATTCAGATGACCATTATATCTACTACTGTGGGCAAGAATCCCTTAGGAGAAATGGAGTAGTCAACAAAAGTCAACAACATCATAGTCAACAAGAGAGTCTGAAATGCAGTACTTGGGTGCAATCTCAAAAACGACAGAATGATCTCTGTTCATTTCCAAGGCAAACCATTCAATATCACAGTAATCCAAGCCTATGCCCCGAACAGTAATGCTGAAGATGAAGTTAAATGCTTCTGTGAAGACCTACGAGGCCTTCTAGAACTAACACTAAAAAAAAAAAAATGTCCTTTTCATCACAGGGGACTGGAATGCAAAAGTAGGAAGAGATACCTCGAGTAACAGGCAAGTTTTGCCATGGAGTACAGAATGAAGCAGGGCAAAGGCTAACAGACTTTTGCCCACACTAGTCATAGCAAACACCTCTTCCAACAACACAAGAAATGACTCTACACATGGACATCACCAGATACTGAAATCAGATTGACTGAACTCCTTATCACAAAATTCAGACTTAAATTGAAGAAAGTGGGGAAAACTACTAGACATTCAGGTATGACCTAAATCAAATCCCTTATGATTATACAGTGGAAGTGACAAATAGATTCAAGGGAATTAGATCTGATAAAAGTGCCTGAAGAACTATGGATGGAGGTTTGAGACACTGTACAGGAGTCGGTGATCAAGAGCATCCCCAGGAAAAAGAAAGGCAAAAAGGCAAAATGGTTGTCTGAGGAGGCCTTACAAATAGTGAGGAGAGAAGAGAAACTAAAGGCAAACGAGAAAAGAAAAGATATACCCATCTGAGTGCAGAGTTCCAAAGAACAGCAAGGAGAGATTAAGAAAGTCTTCCTCAGTTTTGAGGATACACAGGGGTAAAAAGTCCTAAGTGCAGGAAAGAGATTGGGCTTACAGGGCAATATACTAATAAGCTCCATGAAGACTGCCCCTCACATCCTCATGAAAGACCACAACACACAGAAAATTAGAAAAAAACATTCAGTAGCTCTGGAAAATGTGAAGGGAGCCATTAACAGACAAGAAAATGTGAGGAAATTCTGAAGAAATACAGAAGACGGAATAAGACAGAGAGAAACACAGACTCGCACTCACAGACCCTCAGTGAGAAACCACTAGAGGGGTGTGTGGGGCGAGAAGGGGCGCTGACGGGTCCTCTGGCCTCCCTGAGCAGAGGGGCCCCCAGCCCTGGATGGCAGCTGCCTTCCTGGGAAAAGGACAGGAAGCTGGAGAAAGCCATCCAGAGAACGAGCAGGCTGCGGTGGGGGCGCAGAGGGATCCCAGGGCTTTCCAGGGGAGAAGAGGGCCCCCTCCAAAGCCAGGGGCCCAGGGGAGCAGCGGGAGTCACCCTCCAAGAGAGAGAACCAGGGGCGGGGCACAAAGCAGGGAGAACCCTCAAGCAGACACTGCCTGAGATGTTTCATGTGAATCTCTAAGGCCAGCTCGACAAGTCGCTGGAAAATAATATGAAGTGAGCTGGGAGTATTAAAGAAATGCACCTGCCTTCACATACATTTATTTCTAAGACTCACCACACCCTAAAATAAAAATACCATGTGAGTAAAACTATATGGAATATGATGAGATCATAATTGTGGAAAAGTGTAACAACATGGAGAAATGGCCACAAGTGAAAAAAGTAGAATACAGAACACTATACAATTTTTAAACAATGTCAATTATCAAAATGAAAATGAAACCAACCTAGGCCTAGAAAGAGATTCAAAATGTTAATACTTTCTCCCTTGTACTGGAAAGAACAGGAGGAAAAAGAATATACTTCTCCACTACAAGAAAACAGAGCGGGGAAGGAGCCAAGATGGCGGAGGAATAGGACGGGGAGACCACTTTCTCCCCTACAAATTCATCGAAAGAACATTTGAACGCTGAGCAAATTTCACAAAACAACTTCTGATCGCTAGCAGAGGACATCAGGCGCCCAGAAAAGCAGCCCATTGTCTTCGAAGGGAGGTAGGACAAAATATAAAAGATAAAAAGGGAGTCAAAAGAGCTACGGACGGAGACCCGTCCCGGGAAGGGAGTCTTAATAGAGGAAGTCTCCAATCACCAGGAAACCCTCGCACTGGCGGGACTGGGGGAAGTTTTCGGCAATCTAACTGGGAGGAAAAATTAAACAAGGCCCACAGATTACGTGCCTAAAAGCAACTCCCGGCAGAAAAGTACCCCAGACGCCCGTACCCGCCAGCAACAAGCGGGGGCGGGACGGAGAGGAGCGGGCGGCATTGCTTAGGGCCCGAACACACTGCCGGCGGTTCGCAAAACAAAGGGACCGAGAAAGTCCAGAGAAGAGCCGGCCCATCCTCGCTGGAGGTTGGAGGCAGGGGGGGAGGGGAAAAGGGCAAACTCAGCCCCTGAGAAGCCACCCCCTCCCACATTGCAAACAGGCCCCCGGTTCCTATCTAAGACTTCCTGAGACCCGACTGGCGGCACGCGCTGGGGCCGCGGAGGGAAGAAGCGCGCCGCACCCGGGGAGAGTGCGCCCAAGCCTCTGGCTGCCTGGGCCGCTCGCCGCGGAGGGAAAAGGCGCGCTGCACCCGGGGAGAGTGCGCCCAAGCCTCTGGCTGCCTGAGCCGCCCGCCGCGGAGGGAAAAGGCGCGCCACATCCGGGGAGAGTGCGCCCAAGCCTCTGGCTGCCTGGGCCCCTCGACGCGGAGGGAAAGGGCGCGCCACATCCGGGGAGAGTGCGCCCAAGCCTCTGGCTGCCTGGGCCCCTCGACGCAGAGGGAAAAGGCGCGCTGCACCCGGGGAGAGTACGCCCAAGCCTCTGGCTGCCTGAACCACTCAGGCAAGGGAAGGCACAAAACGCAGGCGCAACCGAATCTGCGCTTTTGTGGAGTACCCGAAAACTGGAACCGCACTCAACGCAGGGCCCGCTCCATATAGAGCAGCCGGGAGCCTGAGCAGTGTAGACGGGGAAAGCACTGACACCCGTGAGCGGGGCAAACCCAGTGTGGCCGGAACACGGTGAGTGCTGTCCACACAGAGCGGTGTCTGTCTGCAGCGCCCCGCCCTCCCTGTAGCAGGACTGAACTGAACTAGAGAACCTAAATAAGAGATCACCTCCACCCGCCTGTGTCAGGGCGGAAATTAGACACCAAAGAGACGGCAAACAGAAGCCAAATAAACAAAGGGAACCGCTTCAGAAAGGACTGGTGCAACAGATTAAAATCCCTGAAGGTAACACGGACTACACCAGAAGGGGCCTACAGATATCGAGAAGTGTAACCTGGAAAGAGGAGCTATCTGAAATTGAACTGAACCTACGCTGACTGCAACAACTCCAGAGAAATTCCTAGATATATATATATATATTTTTTTTTTTAATTAAAAAAAATTTTTTTTTCTATCCTTTTTTTAATTTTTTTCTCTTTTATTTCCTTTTAAAATTCCCTATTACTCCTCCATTACTCCTCAACTTTCATTTTCACATATTTTTACGATTTTTTTAATTAGGGGAAAAAAAAATTTTTTTTTTCTTTTTTTTTTCTTTTTCTTGTTTTTCTCTCCTATTTCCTTTTAAAGTCCTCTAATACTCCTCTATTATTCCTTAATTTTCATTTTCATTTCACTATAACCTTGCAAAAAAAAAAAAAGAGAGAGAAAAACCCTATTTTTAAATCAAACTTCATATACATTTCTAAATTTTTTTGTGTGTTTTTGTTTTTAAATATTGTATTTCAAAGAGTCTAACCTCTACACTAGATTTTTAATCTTTGTTTTTCAGTAGTATGTGATATAAATTTTGGTCATTTAAGAATCCAATATTCAGTTCCCATTTCTATTCAGGAGTGTGGTGATTACTCTCCCACTTTTGACTCTCTATTTTCTACCTCGGAACACCTCTATTTCCTCCTTTCCCCTTCTCTTCCCAATCCAACTCTGTGAATCTTTGTGGGTGTCTGGGCTACGGAGAACACTTTGGGAACAGATAACTGCGTAGATCTGTCTCTCTCCTCTTGAGTCCCCTTTTTCGCCTCCTGATCACCTCTATCTCCTTCCTCCCTCTCCTATTCTTCATGTAACTCTGTGAACCTCTCTGGTTGTCTCTCACGGTGGAGAATCTTTTCACCATTAACCTAGAAGTTTTATTATCAGTGCTATATAGTTGGAGAAGTCTTGAGACTATTGGAAGAACAAAACTGAAA